CAAACTGTGATTCTCCTATCTGTGCTTCTGCCTCTCATATGCGTTATAGTGAAAAAAAAAAAAAACCTTTTCTTCATCAAGTAACAGCTGAAACATGTATTGGCCAAATTCCTGGCAACAGTGACTCTTCAACTGTTCCAGTGATGTGAAACCTTCGAAACAGCAATGACATGCATAGATGTACATGTTGTGATGACCGTATAGTATGTGCGCCTGAAAACCTATAATTAAATCGAGCGAGACAGCGCGGTACTATAAAAGCCTGTAAATTCTCTTTTCACCTGTCGTCAGGGAACAGAATATGAACAGTAAAGCTGGCTGGAATGATCATAGTTTTGTGCAATTCTGTTCAGCGGACGTCTTCTGGTAAAAAGTTCATTGCTTTGCTGTTTGGCAAGTGCAGCAATTGTCGGAATGTTCATTTCGACTAGAAATTGTATTTTCCGCCTGTGGGATTTAGGTGTGTATAGAAATCAATCCAAAATTCCCGGAGTTGCACGCGGACAGAAAAAATTCTCTTGGAATGCACGCGTTCATACGCAAAACGTGGACGAATGTGAAAGTTGGGTTTAAAATTCTCGATTTCGCACACGGACATTGGTTTTTTTCTGCGTTGGTATTTTTCCGGTCAGAGACACGTTGAAACTTACAAAAATGTGGGAAAGTGAATTTGAAATGTTTGAGCTGCACATAATCCCTGAACACCCTCGTAAAATTTCAGCCCTCCTTCACGTTTTAACTTCCCTCCTTTCCTTCCTTCCTCACTTTGTTTGCTCTTTCATTCATATCTATTTCTTCCCGTCATCCGCCTTGCATGTTAGACATATGACTATTCAAAACATGGCGGTAAGAGGCTGTACTGATGATTCTCACTCCTACCCCCACACACTGTTCGGTCTGTGTATACAGCTAAGCGATGAAACACAGACTGCGCCATAAAATGTCTTCATACAAATGACATTCAAGTGAAATCATTCTATTCTTCTATTTCTAACTTTTGTAGTTTCCGAGTAATTTCCGATCCAAAACTTTTACAGAATCGTGTGTGAGACCCAGACGCACGTGAAGGCTGAATTCAAACTTGCTGAGTCGTACATGGTAAAAAACCACCTCCCAAAGTTACAGTTTTTTAGCTTTTCTAGTTCCCATGTTCATAATTTTTGTGCCGAAATTTTCATGTGCACGTATGTGAGTCCTGGACATACGCGGGAACTGAATTTAAGTTTACAAAATCACACGCTGGTTAGGGGGGCCTTCTAAGATTTCAGTTCCTCAACTTCTTTGGTTCTCCAGTTGGGGACCTCAAAAACAAGCGCCTGTGCAATTGTTATGATACAAAACGCATAAAAAATGAGAATAATCGAAACAACGAATGAGATTCGTCAAACAACAAATAAAATTTTTTGACTGTGCTACACACTTCAGCAAAGTTGAAGGCAGTATACTGGCAAAGTTGTTCACAGTGGACGCATGATTCCAAAGAAACGGTAAAGCACCTAGAAAATAGCGACGGAAGAATGATCCGTGATTCAGAGGGGAGGATTCTCAGGTACTATTTTAGCTAGTGAACCACGTTTGGCAGTTACAACACATTTACCGGATTTTATTGTTAGTTATGAGACAGTAACTCACTAATATACGATTAAAAGTTGTCAGCAAAGTCAGTACCAGCAGCACGCTTCGCCCATTCAATTTTACGCCAGCACAAGACGAAAACGACAGCCCGCACGCTACTTATCTGCCACATCATAAGTGGTTTATGTGGTCGAAAAAGATAGTACAACTTCGTCGTTCCACCAATCCATCACCAGCGTTTCGCCTTTTTACTTTGATCAGCAACAGTGTTTCTTCGACGCACGTCATGGCTTTCAAGGTAGCGCTAATGAAAAACACATAGTTTTTCGGTTCCCAACAGTATGACTTAGTGCCGTTGCGGCGCATTCTGATGAATT